TATATATATATATTGTTCATTGTCACTTCATGTTATTTATGGCATTAAGTAATTACCATTAAAATTACAACACTGATCTATTCAAAATCACTCAAAAAAATGTATTTAGCCTGTATAAGTACATCTCTGCTTCACAAGCAGTAGTCCATTTTTATATCAGAATCATATTTTGACACATACAAATGTAGGTGAGCATGCACCACTCTTCGGCACAGACCATGGTTATCTCAGATAATGAGTGCTGGGAATCCACTATCCCAACATTCACACACAGCAAAACGACTTCTGAAACCAACAGGATAGTGACCGTACATCGAAAATCATTTCAGGAGCACATTTTCCTTTGATACACGATCATGAGCAATAATATTGGAAGAAAACCAGCAGACACATATTGTCAGAGAAGTAATTTGGCTCTAAAAAGATTCCACATTTGCTGTATTCATGAAGTAGTCTGCAAACTGATTGCCATCTCAGTGGTCAAACAAGAGAATCAAGCTCTTTTTAGTGAAGTTTGCAGTAGAAAACCCAAAGAGAGGATACACAATTTAGCATGGATACCCCTTGAACGATTACAATACTTTGGTCTTTGATGTTGGCGGTGCAAATGTGTGGTTTCATCTTGACAGAAAAGTGAGAGTTTAAGCAAAATCTTCTATGACACATGCGATTCAGCAGTGATGGGCTGATGCGCCAGTCATTGTGAATGTAAGAGCTAAGTAATGTCTCGTCAAATGCTTCAAAAGACACCTAAAAAGACTTGCATTGTAGGATCACTTGAAAAGAAGGAATATGAGAAAGATAGACTTGCAATAAGAGGGTTTATACATACTGTGCAAAGCATGAAGGGAACATCTAATCTAAATACAGATGAAGGGATGATCTCGGGGGTGAGATGATGAGATCAGAAAAGCCGCTTTGAAGGGCGCCATGCACGGACATATGTGAATTTGACAATATCCCTTGATTTCGCCGCAGCTTGGCATTGCTTTTCAAGGGTCAGATGCCTTCTCTACATACTATATGCTTTTTCTTTTGGCGCTACCAAGCTAAAAAAGGTCCGTTACTGTCTAGAAAAGGCAGAGGTAGAAATAGAGTGGAAAAAATACAACCATTTACTTTCCGACTCATGCATAGCGGATTAAACTAGGTGCAGGTGTAATCAAAAGTCATGATTGCACTATACTCCTGTGACATAATGCAGCAAATAATGCATGAAAACGGTATTGTCAAAAGGAAAGATGTATGTACTTACTGCATGAGACATATTAGTGTGATAGAAGGTCACATTGGGGAACGCTTTGGATATAAGTGTTCTGAAGCATCTCTATCCAGCTTATTTTGCAACGCAAAAGCAAACTGTTTCAGTGAATGTGCGTGACTTTTGTTTCATTAGCCCCTATAGGTACACTCTTAAAAATAAAGGTGATTCACAATGCCATAGAAGAGCTTTTTTGTCTAAATGGTTCCATAAAGAACCTTTAACATCTGAAGAACCTTTCTGTTTCACAAAAGGTTATAAAAAGGTAAGAAAAATATGACTGAATGGTTCTTTGTGGAACCAAACATGGTTCTTCTATGGCATTGCTGCTAAGAACCTTTTGAAGCACCTTTATTTTTAAGAGTGTAAATTACTAGAAGAATTACAAAGTGCAGTAAAACTGGTAAAACTATTTAGGCTATAGAGCAGTGTTTAGTATTACAACAATACATTAAAATAATATAAAAAACAAGTTTGCAACATCAGGCAGCATGACAAGCTGTTTTGTACAGCTAAAAATAACTGATGCTGAATATCTCAAAGATTACAAATGAATAAATAAATAAATAAATAAATACATTAATTAATTAATATTGTGATGGCTAGCATTCTGTGAAATTGTTGGTCAATTTGATTTACGAAAAAGGTAAATTTGCTAAAAAAAAAAAGAAAAAAAAAAAGTCGTGAATACTTTTTGCATTCATGAAAAATTATTTCATTCAATATAAGGTTAGATCCTCTGCCATGAATGCCCTCCACTTTGAATCGGTTTGTATGTTCAACAAGTTATCAGTTACTTTAATGTATTTGCAAATTTATTTATTTGCTAAAGTTTTAAATGTATTAAATTACTATTATTTTTGATTTTTTGTTTACATTAATATTAAATAGAGGCCTATGAAATTTTGTGTTTTCTATTTTAATTTAATTCTGATGGTTTAACTAGAAGAGGATGACAACAGAAGCCTCATAAATTCTAGTCACAAAAAATTAAAAATAAGGAGGATAGAGGGGAAAAGTATAAATATTGAACTATTTGTGTAAATAAGTTAATATATATTTGATAAGGTAAAAATGCTTTAAAAAATATACTGAACATTTTTGGTTAAAAGAGCATGCATGAAAAAAAAGTATATTTAATTAAATATAAGGTTATATGCTCTGCCACGAACACCCTCCACTCCAGTTTGAACACAGCACTCATTATTCCCATGTCAAAATGTTCAAGAGCTGAATTAGAAGCCCACTCAGAAGCAGCTAAAACTCAGATGAGCTATTTTTTTCCCCACTTCAAACAATCAATGGTGATTCTGAGTTCATTAGCAATGATGTGACAGAGTTAGTTTAAATGATAGTTAAAGTACTTCACTTTCTGTTTAAACTTTACAGACCTAGGTAAAAAGATGATGTAGCAGCCGTTCCAGAATGATTGTTCTTCCTGTTGCCTTTGGCATGTCATTATTCCAGCTATTTAAATAGATACAAATAAAAAATCAAAACGTGTCTGGGTGCAGCTAATGAGGAGAAGAGACATGGTCATTTGCCTTATGTCAAACCATTCAAAGAAATGCATTTAGTATTTTCTTTGTTGTTTTTTGCTCCAACATGAGTCGTGCTTGCTAAGAATGAATTGTGTCCACTGAGTGCATCATTTAGCTGCATGTTCTGTCTGTGTTATTTTAACAACTGACTCTCTAAAATGTAACAGAAATCAGGTGACAACAAACTAACAAAAATTGCCAATAAACTATGCTGAAAACAATTTGCACACCACAATTTGAAAGAAGCGGTGAACTGCTACAATCTGCCATGCGGTAACACTTAGGGGACCAATTCTCACTATTAACTAGTTGCTTATTAGCATGCTTAATATTAGCCTATTGGCTGTTAATTAGTATAAAGCATTTATTCTACATGACCATATTCTACATCCCTAATCCTACCCAATACCTAAACTTAGCAACTACCTTACTATTAATAAGCAGCAAATTAGGAGTTTATTGAGGGAAAAGTCATAGCTAATGGTTTGTTAATAGCGAGAATTGGTCCTTAAAATAAAGTGTGACCCGCCATGCTTGATTGGGAATAAACAGCATCACTCCACCATTGCAGTCCAGGCACCTGAATCATCTTGAGGCTCTCTGTGTCTTGATTTTTCATACTCTTCTTCATCATTTGTTTGTCATGCGATGAATAACTTGTGCCACGGTTGCTAGAAAATATACAGAAGCATCTATTTTCAATACAATTTGGTTTATTGCCTTCTTTCAATGTGTGATAACAGCACAAAGCTAATTGTGCCAGACTTGTGAACATGACATATTCTATAGCAAACTTTATTTGTAAAAAAAGAAGGAAAATGTTGAAAAGAATGGCAATTACTTCTTTCAAATGCACCTGCTGTGTAAGACCAGAAGAGCACTCGTGGGTACCAGCCAGAGACATACTGGACCCAGTTGAGTCCTCATAATTAAGATTGCTTACAAACAATATTAAATAAAAAATTTAAGTATGTGCAGAAATTTTTGTGTGATGGGTAGGGTCGCACTCCTGCCATGACCAGCAGTATTACTCCCAGCCACAAGGGGGCGCGGGATGTCTGCTGCCTGCAATCTTCCTCCCAGTTGCCAGGGGGCAACCATTGGCAAGAACTCTCAGCTGTGCTTAGCAATTATTGTTGATGATACTCACCTGTGTAGGGCCCTATTTAAGTTTGCCTTTAGCCATTGTGTTTTGTTCAGTCTTGAGCCTACCTACCTGTGTATCCTGTTGCTAACTAGTCTTTTGTAAGCCATTGTGCTTGTTTTGTTTTCTCCTTTTTTTTGTTGTGACTATTGGAAGCCTTGCTTCTGGTTTTGTTTGTACTTTGTTTCTTGTTTTTTTGAATCTCTTTTTGAAAACTACTTGGAGTTTGTATCTCTCGTCTCCGTGAGATTTTGTCATTCCTCTGCACTTGGGTCTAAGAAATCCTCAACCTGGATTTAGCTCACTCAGGAAGAGCGCCAGCTCTGTGTCTAGGAGATCAGGGTTCTAGCCCAGCTAAGACAACACTCAAGATTATTTGTCTATAGTCTGGCTGTCCCTGCATCTGTATCCATACTCGGATTGTTCGAGACCAGACACCTGAGGGTCTTCTCAATCTCCTGGTTCACTCTCTCTGTCTGGCCATTGGATTGGGGATGAAACCCTGAGGACAAACTGATAGTGGAACCAGTTAGACGTCCAAAAGCTTTCCAGAATCTTGAGGTAAACTGGGAACCCCTATCAGACACCATATCCTGGGGAAACCCATGAATCCTAAAGACATGTTGCATGAGAAGTTCTGCCGTCTGGCCTGCTGTAGGAATCTTAGGGGTGGGAATGAGATGACATGCCTTAGAAAATCTGTCGACCACAACAAGAATCACTAAGGCATGTCATCTCATTCCCACCCCTAAGATTCCTACAGCAGGCCAGACGGCAGAACTTCTCATGCAACATGTCTTTAGGATTCATGGGTTTCCCCAGGATATGGTGTCTGATAGGGGTTCCCAGTTTACCTCAAGATTCTGGAAAGCTTTTGGACGTCTAATTGGTTCCACTATCAGTTTGTCCTCAGGGTTTCATCCCCAATGCAATGGCCAGACAGAGAGAGTGAACCAGGAGATTGAGAAGACCCTCAGGTGTCTGGTCTCGAACAATCCGAGTATGTGGAGTTCCCAGCTGGTCTGGGCAGAATTTGCCCATAACACCCTCCATCACTCCTCATTGGGTATGTTTCTATTTGAATGCCAGTTTGGGTTCCCCCCCTCTCTGTTTTCTGAACAGGACCTTCAAGCCCAGGTTCCAGCAGCGGCCCAGTTAGTCCGGAGGTGCCGGGGGGTCTGGCGGAGAGCTCGGGCTGCCCTGTTAAAATCATCCCGGGAACAACAGTAACAGGCCAATCGACATCAGCGGATTGGTCCGTCATTCTGTCCGGGGCAGAGAGTGTGGCTTTCCACTAGAAACCTTCCATTGCACCTCGAGTCACGGAAACTGGGTCCTAGATACATTGGACCTTTCAAGATTCTCAAGAAAATAAACCCAGTCTCTTACCGACTCCAATTGCCCAGGTCTATGCGCATACACCCCACATTCCATGTTTCATGCCTCAAACCTGTCATCTACTCTCCTTTTTCTCCTGCAGTTAGACCACCTCCAGTTCCTCAGATGGTGGGGGGGCAACCAGCTTACTCCGTGCAGAGACTTTTGGACATGCGCAAAGTACGGGGAGGGGTCCAATATTTGGTTGACTGGCAAGGCTATGGTCCAGAAGAGCGCTCGTGGGTACCAGCCAGAGACATACTGGACCCAGAGCTCATCAGGGACTTCCAACAACAGTCGAACAGCACTGAAAGGAACGTCAGGAGCCGTTCATCAACCTGTAAGACTTGTAAGACTTTAGCTGGCAGTACTTCCTCCAACCACTAGGGGTCACACTCCTGCCATGACTACTCCCAGCTACAGTGCAGGCAGGATGTCTGCTGCCTGCAATCTTCCTCCCAGTTGCCAGGGGGCAACCATTGGCAAGAACTCTCAGCTGTGCTTAGCAATTATTGTTGATGATACTCACCTGTGTAGGGCCCTATTTAAGTTTGCCTTTAGCCATTGTGTTTTGTTCAGTCTTGAGCCTACCTACCTGTGTATCCTGTTGCTAACCGTGAGTCTTTTGTAAGCCATTGTGCTTGTTTTGTTTTCTCCTTTTTTTTGTTGTGACTATTGGAAGCCTTGCTTCTGGTTTTGTTTGTACTTTGTTTCTTGTTTTTTTGAATCTCTTTTTGAAAACTACTTGGAGTTTGTATCTCTCGTCTCCGTGAGATTTTGTCATTCCTCTGCACTTGGGTCTAAGAAATCCTCAACCTGGATTTAGCTCACTCAGGAAGAGCGCCAGCTCTGTGTCTAGGAGATCAGGGTTCTAGCCCAGCTAAGACAACACTCAAGATTATTTGTCTATAGTCTGGCTGTCCCTGCATCTGTATCATTACAGCATGACTGAACCAAAAATGGACCCAGCAGAGAGTCAAGGCCCTTCATCAAACGTGGAGAGAATATTATTTGAGCTCACTAATCAAGCTACTGCTATTCACCATCATGAACGGATACTCGCAGAAATACTTCAGCGTTTGGACTCTCTCTCTAGCCTTGCCCCGAAATCCACCGTCTCGGGAGGTTCTTGAGTTACCTACGCTTACATTTGTAAAGCACTGGAGAATGGATTCATTCGGCCTTCCACTACACGGGCAGGAGCTGGGGTTTTTTTCGTGGGTAAGAAGGGCGGAGTTCTTTACGCTTGCATTGATTATCGTGGCCTAAATAACATCACGGTGAAGAATCGATATCCACTACCACTTATGGCCACAGCCTTTGAACTTCTCCAGGGCGCTATCATCTTCACAAAATTAGATCTCCGGAATGCGTACCACCTAGTGAGAATCAGGGAGGGGGACGAATGGAAGACGGCTTTCAACACCCCTACAGGGCATTACGAGTATCAGGTGATGCCCTTCGGGCTAGCTAATGCCCCAGCCGTCTTCCAAGCCCTTATCAATGATGTTCTGAGAGAGATGCTCAACAAATGTGATTGTATATCTCGATGATATCTTCCCAGAGTTACGAGGACCACGTTCAACATGTCCGGCAGGTTCTATCTCATCTGCTCTCGAATAACCTCTTCGTCAAACTAGAGAAATAGGAGGGACGAGAGACAACAGGACCAAGTCACAGCCCAAAGCTACGTCAGTCCAGTTCAATCTGCTTTCCAGCCTCTGTCCACAGAGGAACCCATGCAGCTTGGAAAAAAATGCTTATCACAATCTGAACGGGACAAACTTTTGCGGGAGCGGCGGTGTCTGTACTGTGGTGAACTGGGGCAATTTCGAAATCATTGCCCTGAACTTGTGGGAAAATAGATTTCTCGTCCAGAGAGAGGGGGGCTGAGACGAGAGAAATAAAAAAGTGAGTTCCACAGCACTACAGTCTCTTTCTTGGGTTTCATCCTGTCATGTGGCCGTGTACAGATGGATCCCAGCAAGGTTCGTGCAGTCTTGGAGTGGCCCCACCCTGATTCAGTGAAACAAGTCCAATGCTTCCTGGGTTTCGCCAACTCTTATAGGAGATTTATTCGAAATTTCAGTTCCCTTGCAGAACCTCTCACAGCTCTCACCAGGAGATCTGGCACACCCTTCCAGTGGACAGAGAAGGCTAACCAGGCGTTTGAACAACTCAAACAGCTGTTTACTTCAACTCCCATATTGACCTTGAGTTACCTATGCCACCGCCCATCCTTCCTCAACCTCAACCAATTCCAGCGGGCCCCCTTCTTGAGCCCAGGCTACCACCTCCTGAAAGATATGATGGAAATATCAGGGGTTGTCGAGGTTTTATCACCCAATGCTCTCTAGCCTTCCAACTGCAACCCAGTAGTTTTCCTACAGAGGGCAGTCGGGTGGCTTATATCATCACTTTATTAACCGGAAGAGCTTTGGAATGGGCTACGGCTCTCTTAGAGCATCATTCACCATTTACTTCTGACTCTGAGCAATTCCTAGCAGAGATGAGGAGGGTCTTCCATCACCCAGGAGGAGGAGTGGGAAATGACCAACGATTACTTCAACTCACTCAAGGGGCACGCAGTGTAGCAGAAATGTCTATTGAGTTCCGTACTCTGGCAGCGGAGAGTGGCTGGAATGAACAGACTCTTCAAGCAGCATTTCATCAGGCTCTTGCCGAGATCCTGCATCTAACTTGGATTCCCTCATCGATGTCGCCATCCGAGTGGTTAATCGAATCGGGGATAGGAGGGCCGAGAGACAACAGGACCAAGTCACAGCCCTTGACCCTACCAGATCCTGAGTTACCGTTTATTATCGAGGTGGACGTGGGTGTGGGAGCAGTTTTGTTCCAGAGAGCGGCTAGGGACAATAAACTCCACCCTTGTGCCTTTTCACGTCGACTGACAGCAGCAGAGAAGAACTATGATATTGGGAATCAGGAGTTGCTGGCCGTTAAGCTGGCATTGGAGGAATGGAGGCACTGGCTGGAGGGTGCTAAACACCCGTCTGTAATATGGACGGACCACAAGAACCTCACTTACATTCAGGGAGCCAAGAGGTTAAATCCTCGGCAAGCTCGGTGGGCCCTTTTCTTTAACCGGTTTGACTTTGTCCTCTCTTACAGACCTGGTTCCAAGAATATTAAGCCTGATGCTCTGTCAAGGCAGTTCGAGTCCCAGGAAGAGGAGGGCAGGTCAGAGCCCATCATACCAAGGTACAGAGTGCTGGCAGGCATCCAGTGGGACTTGGAGACAGCAGTACGGAAGGCCCAGATTCACCAGCCTAACCCAGGTAATGGCCCATCGGGTCGCCTCTTTGTGCCTAACACCATCAGGTCCAAAGTACTGCAGTGGGGTCATGCCGCACCGTCATCTGGACATCCAGGGGTCCTAAGAACCCTGAGGCGGATCCAGTCTAAGTTTTGGTGGCCCAATATGGGAACTGATGTCCGGAGGATGGTTGCTGCATGTTCCACTTGCGCCCGGAATAAGGAACCTAGAGCCCTCCCTCAAGGTAGACTACATCCCCTCCCTATCCCGAGACGACCCTGGTCCCACATATCCATGGATTTTGTTAGTGGCCTCCCCAGTTCTCAAGGTAACACAGAAAATCTGTCGACCACAACAAGAATCACTGTGTTACCTTGAGAACTGGGGAGGCCACTAACAAAATCCATGGATATGTGGGACCAGGGTCGTCTCGGGATAGGGAGGGGATGTAGTCTACCTTGAGGGAGGGCTCTAGGTTCCTTAATCCGAGCGCAAGTGGAACATGCAGCAACCATCCTCCGGACATCAGTTCCCATATTGGGCCACCAAAACTTAGACTGGATCCGCCTCAGGGTTCTTAGGACCCCTGGATGTCCAGATGACGGTGCGGCATTACCCCACTGCAGTTCTTTGGACCTGATGGTGTTAGGCACAAAGAGGCGACCCGATGGGCCATTACCTGGGTTAGGCTGGTGAATCTGGGCCTTCCGTACTGCTGTCTCCAAGTCCCACTGGATGCCTGCCAGCACTCTGTACCTTGGTATGATGGGCTCTGACCTGCCCTCCTCTTCCTGGGACTCGAACTGCCTTGACAGAGCATCAGGCTTAATATTCTTGGAACCAGGTCTGTAAGAGAGGACAAAGTCAAACCGGTTAAAGAAAAGGGCC